TGCTACTAAAACAAGGCTGTCACATATGTATCTTTGTACATGTCTCTACACACATCCAAATATATCTTTAGGATAAACTAGAATTGAAATTGCTGGAACAAAGGTAAATGCATTTTGTCTTTAACAAACACTTCCAAATATCAGGACAACTCAACATATTTAGATATTTTCTAGCTACCCGTCATTGGATTTAAAAGGTGTTTGCAAACTTCTTGCAACTGTATGAAAAATGTTAACTATGTGTTTATTTTTTTCAAGAGGAAATCCATCACTTCAGTCATATTCTTATAGAGGTCCGTATCACTAAGAACGTAAACTGTTGAGTCAATGGGTCCTGTACAATACCAAAAAGAAGCAATAGCAGAAGTCAACACTAAGTTGAATCCAGAAAAATGCCTTGGATTTTTTCATGCTTTAGGTTTCTCCTAAGAAAAACCATGTGATGTTTAAGCTTGTGTGTCTGATTTATTTCATTTAACATTATGGTCTCAAGGTTCATCCATTTTCCTACAAAGGACTCAAATTTATCCTTCCTTATAGCAGAATAGTACTCCACTGTGTATAAATACCTCATTGTTTTATCCACTTTATTGATGGACACATAGGCTGCTTCTAAGATTTAGGTATTTTGAATTGTGCTGCTCTAAACATGTAAACCACCACTTTTGAAGAATATTTGGGAGGGGGTAAGAGAGAAGATGCTGGGGGCTGATATTTATAAAGAACCTGTATCCTTCTCCAGGGCAGATGGCTCAACTACACACAAATCAGGAGAAATTGTTCCCAGTAACCACAGGGCCCCTGTAGGTTAGCTTCTGGTAATGATTTAATATGACACCTCTCCAAGGGTATCCAGGGGGTTTCAGTGCCTTGACTCAGAGGAATGAATCCACAGAAATAGGGTGGGATGCAGACTGGGGGTGTTCCTGTCCATGACATGTTGCACTGCTCAAGCTACGTGTTGTATCCAGGCCTAAAGGGTAAATGCTGTGGAGGTGGGGACAAAGTATGGAACGTCTTTACATAGTAATCTACAATCTGCCCTTTATCCCTATTGCTGATTTTGGATATAATGTTCACTTTAGTTTTTATGTCGAGCAGTCTAGACCAAGAAGCAGTATGGCAATTCAGTGACCTCAAACCATCTGAACCTTTAAAACATATTCTTCAGAAGTGTAGGTTTACAAGTTTTACATGTAAACCTTACAGCAGCAGAATTCATAATAGCTAAATCTTGGAAGCAGCCTATATGTCTATCAACAAATGAACAGATAAAGAAAAAAGGTATTTATATACATTGGAGTACTGTTCTGCTATATTTGAGTCATTTGTAGGAAAATGGATGCACCTTGAGGCAATAATGTTAAGTGAAATAAATCAGACACACAAGCTTAAACATCACATGGTTTCTCTTATATGAAAAACCCAAAGTACAAATAATTTAAACAGAAAAATAAAAGATAATTGGCAGCAGGGAGATAAGATCTTTTACAAATGGGAAGAGGACCAAGAGATGGAAGGAGGAGAGGAAGGGGAATGGAAGGGGAAATAAAAGGAATTAAGATGTGTTATGCAAATGTACCAGCTCCCCAAGAGAAAAGTAATCATCATGTACTGCAAACAAGGACTAATGGTTTACGTTTCCATAGCAAAATCTCTCAGTCCAATTCAAATATAACCAAATACTACCAAATTGCTTCCCATAAAACCAATAACATGTCTTAGAAATCTTAAATTCCTAAGAGAGTTAATGTATTAATCCATCTCAGTTTTAATTATGTTAAATAACAAACAAAAACTTTTAGTTAGAGCTAAAGGTCTAGAGGTGATAAGTGTATCAGTCTAGAAGTGTAAAGATTGAATTGAGTTTAGAGGGGAAAAAAATCTGTTGTTAAATCACAAAGCAGTTTGGTTGGTATAACAAAGAACTATTACTTCTCCTTTTATTTGCTAAATTGCCCAGGGTGAGCTTGATCTTGTGATCCTCCCACCTCAGCCTCTCAGAGTGCTGGGATTACAGATGTGTGCCCCCACATCTGGCAAACAAAAAACTACTCTTAAGAATGAGAAGATTCTAGTATTTATGCCATTACAAAGAATTTCAGCATTTATATTATCTAGAGTTTGTAGCATAGTGACAGTTTCCTTGATGTCATGTTTTGTTAATGTTATATTCAATTTATCAAGTATGCACATACGTGTATAAATGTTTCTAAAGCATAGTTTCTCAAAAGTGAGGTTCTAGGCCGGGGGTTTAGCTCAGCGGTTCCACCGCCTGCCTCCCAAGCGTAAGGTCCCCAGTTTGATCCCCGGTACCAAAAAAAAAAAAAAAGTGAGGTCCTAAAAGCATGAATTAATCATCCTGGCAGCCTGTTAAATGCGCAGATCTCTGGATCCCAACCTAACCTATTTGATGAGGATTCTGGGGAGTGGAGCAAGAATCTGCACATTGTACAAGCTTCCTGGGGGATTCTGATGTACCAAGAAGTCTGGGAACTAAGGCTTCAGAGGTCATCTTAGCTTAATCTTCTGCCTTCACAGCCCCAGCAGAAAAGGGTGAAAGAGGTCTCACAACCCAAAGGCCACCCAGCCTATGGGTTTCAAAAGCCACTTCTTCAAATTCAACCGGAATCCACCATTCAAAAAATTCCTACCTATTACTGCTTAGTGTCACAGTGAGTGAGTTTATTCCCTCGTCGACATGCCACATCCCTCAAGAATTTCGAGTCACTACTGAGTAGGTGTGGCTGTGCATGCTTGTAATTCCAGCTACTTGAGAGGCTGAGGCAGGAGGATTGCAAATTCAAGGGCAGCCTGGACAACTTGCTGACATTGTTTCAAAAAAAAGACTGAGGATGCACTTCAATGGTAGAACACATTTCTGGCTCCATCTGCAGCACTGGCGGGTGGGTGGGGGGAAGGAATTTAGAGCTGCTAATGTATACCCCCACCCCAGACCCACAGCCTTCCCTTTCTGGGTGAAACAGATTCAGTTCTTTGTGTGTGTGTGTGGTAATCTTGATGGGTCCCAGTAAAGAAAGCACTCTACCACTGAGCTACATCCCCAGCCAGCTTCAGTTCTTTCAACTATATTTCATATGACACCTGGACGGGAAGCTGAAGAGGATGGAGTCACAGTAAGGCAAACAGGATAAGAGAACAGGCTTTGGTATCCACATCTGAATTAAGCCTTGGCTCATCAGTTATGTCTGACCTTGAACTTGACCAAGGACCATGACTTGGAGCCTTGGTCTTCTCATCTGTAAACAAGGTTGTTAACCCCATCTCAGGTTGAAGGAAGATTAAATGAGAGAGCCTAGGATGACTGTTACTCAAAGTTGCTCCAGGGAGGACATGGCAGTGCCTATTAAACTGCCTCATGAGCAGCCCTAACTGCACTGAAAACAAGCCCTCCAGGGCTAGGTCTGGGCAAAATCACAGGACAAAGGCCAATCAACACTTTTGAAGTTTCTTGATTTAGATTTTCTGTTTATTTTATAATTTCAAGCACTCCCAGGCACTCTGCCCCCACCCCCACCACCTACCACTCTCCTCCATCGCTCTTACAGAAGAGCAGACTTAGTCCACAAGATCGGAAAAAAGACAAATGAGCAGCTGGACATAAACAAGACTTGCCACAGGACATGAGTCTGGAGTGACCAGGAAGTTCTCCCTCCCAAGTGTTGTGGGATGGTGTGGTTCAGCTTTACTAGGCCTGTTACTCTCTAAACTGCTTTCAGAGAAAAATTAGTCCCAACCAAATGCAAGAATATCTAGGAGGAAACTCAGATGCCCCTGATCCAGTAGTTGTGTGTCTGTGTGTATATGGGTGAGAGTATGCATATACATGCATGTACAGAGTCCACCAAAAAAATGTGTACATCAGGAAAAGAAAAACTTGTATAAATATTTTAATACTAAATTTAGTGAGACATCATGAGATTAATACAAGCTACCTTTGGCCCCTACAATTACAAGAAGTTCTCAAAGTGGTGGCCATTAGCTTCTGGACATTTATGTATGGTCAACTGCTGATGTATATATATATATTTGGGGGTAGCTCTGTATGTTCCCAAATCAGTAGAAATCTGATTTGATCTGGCCTTGGCCACATAGGCCTCTGGGACATCAGCAGCTACTGAGTGGCATGATGTTACCCATTTTCTCATTCCTGTCTCCTTCCTCTCCTACTTGCTCTTCCATCATTCTCTCATCTGGGAATTCACTGGCAACTGAAGAGCTAGGGTTGGCTATCAATAGAGTTGCTGGCAATGTTAAGAGGGAGTGGGGTGTTCTAGAATTGATGCGCAGCGGGAGGAATAACTTGGAAGAGGGCAGCCACAGTTACAGAGAGCTGGAGAGAGCACACGGCTGACTCCAGACCCACAATACTCCCAGTAGCTCCCGGGAGTCTTGCATCCACTTGGGGAACCCTGCAAGTAGGCAGACTGTTGAAAAGCCATTCTCTTTAGCCTCCTAGACTTCAGCTCGCCTAAGCCGAGGAAAAAGTGACACTGTGCTCCCGGCAAACACAAGTCATGGAGCTCATAACAGCAAGATTACAATGTGCCACGCACTGTGCTGAGGCCATTAGATATGTAAGGAGAGACAGGGGTGAGAGATTAGGAAAAACATGTACGTTTCTTAAAAGGAGGAAAGAGAAAAAGTAAAACCTAAGCAGTGTTACACTGAATTAACTGCCGGAAGTATTAAACTCAATCTTTTTAAATTCCAAGACCAGCATATGGTGTTAATAAATAACTGCTCAGGTCTCCACCACTGCGGGTCCTCTGGTCGGTGCCGGGGGTAAGGGCCGTGCTCTTGCCCACCGCAAGCGGGAGCTGAGTCCCGGCCCTGGCCCGCCCCACCCGGGGCCGCCCGCAGCCGGCCGCGAGCACCCCCTTCCGGGCGGGCGCGAGGCTGGGCATCCCGGGCAGTGCTCGCGGGCCTTCCTCGGACCCCCTTTCCCTGGGCGCTGGACCCCTGTCCCAGCACCTTACCTTCCCGCTCAGCGACCAGACCGGGTTGCGCTCTTCCTCTGCGGCCGCGGAGGTCACACGCTGTCGGGGTCCTGTTGCGCGTCTTATCCCGGGCGGATCCGCCCCACTTCGGGGTGGAGACTGAGCTCGAGTTCCTGGTTGTCCTTCTGCCCACGGGACCGGAAAGTCCCTCCCTCGGTGAGCGCACCTGGGTCCGGGCCGGACAGCCCTTGGGAAGCCGGCGTCGACTCGCAGGGCCCGGCACCTCGCACGTGCCTGCACCCCGTGGGGGGCTCGACCTCGTGCCCTGCCTGGATTGTGCAGCCCGCCAGGCACCGCCAGCGCAGTCCTGTCCCTGCAGAGTGGGATCAGAGGACCTTGGCCTCTCGGATGCCGGGCGTCCCCACGCCCTGGAGGGCCCAGAGCCCGGAGACCTTCCCGCTTGCTCACTGCACCGCGCATGTTCCCACCACTAATCAAAGCCGCCTGCCCCCGGAAAGCAAGCTTCCAACCACAGGCTTGCATGGGCCTGTGGCTGAAAAAGTAGAAAGTGAAATCTGAACGGCGCGTTTCATTAACACAGACATTCCAAAATGTTTCCAGCAGTTCTTCACAGCGCTTAGGGAAAACAGTTCCCCTTCCTGGTGCAGCCACCAGGCTGGGGAAACCTTTAGGAAAGTAAATCAGAAGCAGCAGCACCTAATCCTTCTTCACGTGAGAACTACTGTATTAGGGTTTAGTAGTACCTGGCAGGAGCTGCCAGGTAGGTCTCTGCACACTGCTCGCTCCTTGTAATACACTTTTGTATCTTTTTGTCTGCTTTCCCTACTGTACACAAAACTCTTGAAGCCACTGACTAGGTAGGTCTAGGTCACCTTTGTTCCCGAGTCCCAAATTGTTTTATGGCAGGCAACTAAATTAGGTAGAGATATTCTAGGCAGTCAGACAGGCCTGGGACCTCGAGGGAGTCAGTACAGAGGATGAGAACACATTACAACTGTGGCTAGAGGCCCAACTGTTTGTTGAGGGCCAGGCCTTGAGATAAAAGATGGAATGACCAGGCCTACATGCCTCCCCAAGGGATAAGCAATAAATTGAAGATTGTACTTGTACTATAATTGTTATCACCTGGTTCGATGAAGTCAAGATAGACATCAGTCACCCCAGGGGATAACCAGGACCTCCTGATCCATCTCTTCCTCAGTTTTTGTTTTGTTTTGTTTTTAATCTCACAGAGACAAGAAAACAAGAAAGGGAAAATAATAAGAAAAGTTTTAGAACCTGGAAAGCAGAGAGATGGTGATAATTGACTTAGCAGCTTTGAGAAAGTTGACTCCTACGCCAGAAGTAGGGAAAGCCAAGAAGCAACATAACAGTGTAGGATTTTTCAGGATACAAAGGCATGTACTGTAGCAGCTGCTTCTTAAAATGGATGGAAAGGTAGACTGAAGCAGGAGGATTTTCTGTAAGTGTGCAGGAAGCAGCTACTATCCTCCCTCCCCGCCTGCACAGCTGTCACTGCGCCTCAAGTGGAAGATAGGAAGCACATTCTCAGGAAGGGCTAAAGAAGAGAATCTCTGGAATGGGGCAACAGATGTAGTCCCAGTGCTCTGGTTATTGAAAGCTCTCTAAGAAACTATCCCAAAACATGGTGACTTATGACACTGATCATTTTATTGTATCTCATAATTTTATGGATCTGAATTTGAACAGGGCTTGGCTGGGCAATTTTTCTGTTCCACATGGCATCAATAAAGGTCTCTTGGGGGAGTCAACTGACAGTATTCACCCAGTCTGGAGGACTGACTCATATATTGGCCCCAAAGTAGGGATCTTTGGAGTGCTGGTCTCAGCTGACTTGTTCAGAGCACCCACATATCCCCTCTCCACGTGGCAGTCTCAGGATTGTCAGATTTCCTACACAGAAGCTCAGGGTTTCCAGAAAGAATAGTTCAAGAGATCCAGGCAGGAGTTACCAGGCTTATTATCTAAGCTTGGAAGTCACTGGACATGTTTTCTATTGCATTCTATAGGTCATGCAAATCACTAGGCCAGCCCACATTCAATGGAAGGGAAATTAGACTTCTTCCCTAAATGTGGGTGTGTGCCCGTGCAAAGAATACACAGCCATCTTTAACAGAAGGTATTAGATAAACATAAGGCAAAGGATACTGTACTGAAATTGAGAGGCCACATGAAAATTAAAATGCGAATATTCAGCAGCTTGATAATCTTTCTCCATTTGACTCCTACAACACTGGCAGCCAGGATTATTATGTTCACTGGTATGGGAAGCTGGGGAATCTGAGCAAAGCCCTAAAGAGATTGTAAACAGTTACTCAGTGAAACTGGAGCAACCTGTTAGTGACCTCATCCTTATCAGGTCCCACTTACTCATATACATACACAGAGCCTTGGGGCAGCAGTGTAGGTCTCACTCTTAGTGCTGCTAAAAAAAATACAGGACACTTAGTTAAATTCAAATTTCAGATAAATAATATTTTACTGAAGTATAAAATACTTTTCATGGGACAGACTTATATGAAAAATTATGTATCTAAAATTCGAATTTAACTAGGTGTGGGCCGGGGATTTAGCTCAGTGGTTCCATCGCCTGTTCTCCTAAGTGCAAGCTCCCAAGTTCGATCCCCGGTACCAAAACAAAACAAAACAAATTTAACTAGGTGTTCTGTTTTGTTAAACTTGGCACACTTAAAAGCAGACAGCCAAATGTCATCAGAATTGACATGAAAGATAGAACTCAAAATATATAAGCAGGAAAAAAAAGTTTGAAAGAAGCAGACAATAGGGAAAGAGGACAACTTTGAGGATCTATTATTGATCTCCTCTGAGAAATACAGTTAGAATAAAAATAAAATATTACTTTAAAATATTATTATTAGTAGTACATGTTTGTAGTACATAATGATTACATTCATCATGGGATGTTGGTGCATGTACATAACACATTGTAATTCTTTTTACTTCCCCTTCCCTTTCTTTCTCTTCCTTCTATCTCTTGGTCCCCTTCCCATTTGCAAAAGATGTAGCTCATGTTTCCAATTATCTTTCTTTTATTTTTTATTTATTTATTTTTTTTGGTACCGGGGATGGAACTCGGGTCCTTGCGCTTGCACAGCAGGCAGCTAAAGCACTGAGCTGAATACCCGGCCCTATCTTTCTTTTATTTTTCTGTTTAATTATTTATATTTTGGGCTTCTCATATAAGAGAAACCATGTTATATTTAGGCTGTGTGTCTGGTTTATTCAATTTATTTCACCGAATCTTATGTCTCAAGGTACATTCATTTTTCTAGAAAATGACTCAAATTTATATTTCTTTATAGAGTAATAGTACTCTATTGGGTATAAATACCACATTTTCTTTATCTATTCATCTGTTGATGGACATCTGTATATCCACTTCCAGTATTTTGCTATTATGAGTTGTGCTGCTATAAGCATGTGTCACTGTAATATAACGTCTTTAGCACTTTTGGGAAGATACCTTGAAATAGTTAAGTCAAATAGAATTTCTATTTTTAGTTTTTGAAGATTCTCCATACTCCATACTAATTTCCATAGTGGTTGTTGTACTTTTTAACATTCCCATCAACAATGTGGAAGGGTTCTTTTTTCCTCTGCATCCTTGCCAACATTTGTTAATACTTGATTTCTTAATGATGGCCATTCTTTCTGGAGTAAGGAATTCAGTGTTGTTTTTTGGGGGGTACCAGGGATCAAACTCAGGACCTTGTGCTTGTGAGGCAGGCAGCAAAACCACTGAGCTTGTGAGGCAGGTGGCAGAACCACTGAGCTAAATCCGCGGCTCAGTGTTGTTTTAATTTGTTTTCTCTAATGGCCAAAGATGTTAAACATTTTTTCATGTATTTATCGGCTATATTTACTTCTTCTGAGAAGTGTCTGTTCATTTCAGTTGCCCATTTTTTGATTTGGGTCTTTTATTTTGATGATGTCACTGCATCATTTTCTTGTAGTTGATGCCTTTTTCCCCCCTTCTGGTTAACTGTTCACATTGCCATGATCTCTTGTTCACCCTGCCTGATATATTCATTCCACTAGATTTTTTTTGGCATTGCTGGCTTCATGGTCTCTTTGTAGGATATCTTTGAGAATTTTTTGAACTGCTGGTTTGGTGGTTACAAATTTCTTCAGGTGCTCTTTGTCATGGAAATACCTAATTTCTCCAACAATTTTGAAAGATAGTTTTGCAAGATATGTCAGTCCGGATTGGAAGTTGTTTTCTTTTAGGGCTTGAAACATTTCACTCCAAGCTTTCTTGGTTGTTAAGGTTTGCGTTGAGAAGTCTGCTATAATTGTAATGGGTTTACCTTTGTAAGTGATTTGTTGCTTTTCTCTAACAGCCTTCATTATTCTATTGTCACGTTAGACTTCTGTGATTAGATGTGTTATGGAGACATTCTTTTGTGATGGTGGCTATTTGGGGTTATATATGTCTCACTCATCTGTACGTTAAATTCTTTTCCCATATTTGAAAAATTTTCTGCTATTATTTCTGTAAACAAGGTTTTTTATGCCACTCATGCTGTCGTTTGATTTTTCCCTAATTCCAATTAATCTTAGTCTTCTTTACCTCATCTAGCAGCTTTTGGATCCATTGTCCGTGATCTCTGGTTTTAAGGTACCTCTGCGTATATGGTCACTTGCACCAGCCCAGTCTTCTAGTTCTGACACTATTCTCACATTGGTTACTTCTGTTGTCCATACTTTCAATTGAATTTTTTATTTTCTTGATTTCTGCTTGGTACCTTTTCATGGACTCTAATTCTTTGCTAAACTAGTCATTCATGTTTTGTATCATTTTGTTTAGTTCAGCTAGATTTTTGTTTGTGTCTTCTGTAAGCTTACTGGTAATTTTGTTTATTAAGTCTATTATCTGTTTAGTTATATCAACTTCAAACTCACAAGCACCTTATTGATCTGTTTTTTGTTTCCTTTTTTATCACTTCATGTAATTCAGTTGTTTGGCTTTTGATTATCTCCCCATCAATGCCCCATGGATCAGATCAGCTTTGGGGGAGTTGGGAGTTTTTGGGAAGCATTTTATTGTCTTGTTTCCTCATGTTTCTATTGCTGTGTGTCTATGTGTGTGTGTGTGTGTGTGTGTGTGTGTGTGTGTGTGTGTGTGTGCGTGTGCTGAGGATTAAAGGTCAATTACTGTGTTTGTAGTA